CAATATAATAGCTAGATCCATTAAAATTTGGTACTGTACATCTTCATTTTAAAATTTGAAAGCCGAAAGCTAATGTAAAGGCGTTTCCAGACATACAGTTGTCGTGCATACTGAACTGTGAAAAGGTGCAATTCTCTCCTGCAAAGTGTGATGACGTCAATTCTTGGGCAGTGCCAAGAGCCATAACAGCAATAACAACAACAACAAATAGCTTTTCACAATAATGCAATTTTAATTGCATTATTATATAGAGGGTATTACATGGCCGAGCGGAGATACGAAATTTCTCTTCGAGCGTTGAAAAATATTTCACTCGTTCGCTGCGCTCACTCGTGAAATATTTTTTTCAACACGAGAGAAATTTCGTATCTCCAAGCGACCATGTAATGTTCTATTTATTGTATAAACACCAACGAAATGCCAAAGCATTTTACTTAAATAGCTTTTTGGTCTGAAAGGTGCGGTTTATTATGAAGCCATAGCAATGGTGATATTTTCACATGTGAAGATATCAAGTTTTCGCGCGAAAGCTCACTTGGTATTTCATTGATGTTTATATAATAAACATACTTATGCACCACCTTAGAATATCATTGCCCAGCCTCCTTAGCTAACGAGCTGTGGTACAGTAGCTCTTCCAGACCTCTGTTTTCATTAGCCTAAATAAGCATAAGGAGTTAAATGACGAGATTATTGTTCCCGGAGTCAGGGTGAGGTTTCTCAGGGTACTCTAGCCTGCGAGCAAGCTCTCCTATTTGGGCGAGCGAAGCGAGTCTCGCCAGAACGCGCGAGCGAGGGGCGAAGCCGCGAGGAACCCTCGCTCGCGCGTTCTCGCGAGGTTCGCCCAAATAGGAGAGCTTGCTCGTAGGCTAAACGAACGCGGGGAAGCCGTAGCCCTTTTCCAGGCTCCAAGATAGTAGTGCAGTCGACCAGTAAAACGTGACGTGAAAAACGCGACCGTCCCCTTAATTCATCAGATCACGCGCGTCTTATTTTCCCTCCAAGATAGTAGTGCAGTCGACCAGTAAAACGTGACGTGAAAAACGCGACCGTCCCCTTAATTCATCAGATCACGCGCGTCTTATTTTCCCTTGGCTTGTTTTATTTTCGCAACTGGCACAGGTTACGAAGTCCACCGTCGCGCGTGTCGGGCGCTTCTCGTCTCGCTCGTTTCGCGCTTTCCTAAATGCGAAAAAATAACGCCTGTTATGCACGCTATTGACTTGTTCCTAATCTTCTCGGGGCTCGGTCGCCAAAACAAAATCAGCACTCGCCGGCTAATCCCGCCAGCTACGCAGGCAAGGAACATTGAGAATATAATTAGAACGCGTTTTCACCAAAAAAGAAATCGGTTCGCAACTTTATTGAAACTACATTTGCAAAAAAATTTACGAATGAGGGCATGTTAACAGGTCTTCCCAGAATTGAGGTGTTTTTTTAGCTGATACATGGTCGTTTTTTTATCCTCGTCATATATAACAGATAAAAGACATGTCCACACAAAACAGGGGCAACCAACGACAATTTTCGGAAAAATATCTGTTCGGGAGACGATTTGAGATCTAGAATTTTCGGAACATTTGTTGTAAAATTTCTTGTTTGCCTGCCTCTCCTAGGATTTTCGGACATCTAAAAATTGGTATAATTGCCTATTTTTAACGGATTTTTACCCTAAAAAGGTCACCTAGAATTTTTGGGAGCCTTTTTTCCTAAAACTTTCGAAAAGGTAGTTTATAATTTTCGGATCACTAGACTTTCAGCTAGGAAATCCGAACAGATGAAAAATTTTTAGGGGATAAAAATATGCCTATATCTACCGTTTAAATACTAAAATACGTTTAACAAGCTATCTTTAAGTGGTTTTGAACTATATTCTCGTTGGGTGCCCCTGACAAAACAACCGTCAACCTAAACCAAGCTTTGTGCATGCCTGTTTGCAAAAAGTCGCCGCTAGTTTAAAACTGCAATTCGAAAATTAGTCAGTTTTGATACTTGTTTTGGTGTCGATTCCCCAGTAAAGGAGATTGGGAACTAGATCCGGTCCACTATTGCTGGTTTCAGTACGACTTATAGCGCTGACCTCTCAGAGCCCCCTAATCGGTCACTCCAGCTCATTCACTTTTTTCGTTTCAACTTCATTCTTATGATACCACTAGTCGCTAATTTGGTAAACACAACAACGCAACAAATAAACAAAGAATTGAACATAAATTGAAAAAAAAAGGAAATTTCAAGTCAATAGACGAACAAGGGAGGTAAAGAAATGTATCTAGTGCGTAGCAAGCGGTAAAAGAGGAATTCCTTTCCCCTTCCCTTCTGAACGCCTACAGCGCAGGCTAAAATGTGTCAGGAATTTTGATTCAAGTGCAAAACTGAAACCAACTCATTAACTGCCGTACCCTTCGCGTTCTCTTAAACTCCTCATAAAAAGTAAAGTCATTCTTGGTAGGTCCTCTTTCAATTCAGGCAGACATTAGCAACTGGTCAAGCAAACCTAATTCAAAAGATATTATAAATTTGAATGAAACAACGTTTAATTTGTTCCTTTTGATGATGTGCGCATGCTCAGAACTCATATACTACAGTCGACTCTTACAGCAGTCTCATTCCTAGAGCCTCCGTTACTTTTGGGCAGCGGATGGGGTAACGGATGCTGTTAATGGTAGGTACTTAGTGATTCCCATCGCTGTACAAAAGGATCGCGGCCTCTCGGAACGAGATTGCTCTTACAGTCGACTCCTGATAACACGTCGAACCTTACATAACTCAAATCTCGAGCAAACTCGAACAAAAATCGATTTCCGTCGGATTTTCTCCATAGCGGAGCTCTCGCGCGCGAAGCGCGCTTGGGGGAGCACCATGGGTAAGAAAATGAAGTAATCTACCCATCCGAGGACATTTGGTAATCACGTGACCGAACGCCCTCCCGCCCGACCGACCGTTCGTCCGCACCACAGGCAAACCAATGTAACATAACTCAATCAACACTTTCGCGGGAAATCGCATAGCCACCGGCGTCTTGTAAAGCAGAGACAGCTAAAGAGTCAATAAAGACGAAAACGGAAAGCGAAAATTGTTTCTTTATCCGTGTTGTCTAAACTATTAAGCTTAGAGAAAAAGAGAAAGTAGGCGCCAGGCCAGCGAAGCTCAACGAGAAAAAGGGCGACAGAGATCTAGAGCGAGAGATAAAAAAAAAAAGGCGAAATTTTTTTGATGGAAGAACAACATGAAAATTCGCTTCGCTCTCAGTGCAAATGCGTCTTGAAGAAAGATCACGGATGGCAAGCAGAACTATCGTGCGTTACCTAAGCGGAATTTGGAGCCGTTGGAGCGAATTTACGGCCGTTTTCCTTCGGTGGATCCTTCGGGCCGCTTCGCTGAAGTCCCCAACCTTGGTAAACCTTATAAAGAGAGAGAAAACCGTTTAGGAGAGACGTAACACACATTTTATTTACTGTAAACTGTTTTTTATTGAATCTTTTCATTTTCGTAGGTTACAGAAACGATAAGTTTTTTTTCCCATACAAATCCTTATATTTCGAGTGTTACCCTCGCCGATGCTCATATTTCGAGCTTGGGTTACCTGTGCATTTACTGTAATTTTACCCCCAGTAACTCGAACCCTCGATAAACCCTCGATAACTCGAATTATGTTTTTTAAAAGAGCGTGATAATTCGAAAAAAAACGCAGTGAGCTGAAGTCCAAAACATTGAATTTCTCTTTTTAAAAAAAACGCATATTCTTTCTCTTTAAGCTTGAAACTTCACTTTTTTGTCAGTTCAATTTAAATACAATGTTAAGCGTTTTAATCAAGCTTTAATGCTCAATTTCTTTTTCAAAACATCTGAAACACTAATATATCTCTTGGTGAAGTGTGCATGATAGTTGTATTCCCTCCCCATCCATTTGCTTATCAGTTGCTTATTCCCGGTTATTTGCTTTGAACTCCCGATATCTCGAACTGTTTTCGATTTCCCTTGAAGTTACGAGTTATCGGGAGTCGACTGTACCTGTGTGATATCGCTAATGAGTCCTAATACATATGAAACAGCTGTGCATGCTGTGGCTTTTATTGCTCCATTGACATGAATATAAAAAAGGGGTATGAGTGAAAGAAAAATGATGATGTTTGTTTTTGCAGCGCAGGTGGCCTGGATGCAAAATAAATCGCAAATAGCACTCTTCCGGTAATGATTCTGCTATTAAGAAACTCAACAACCTGTTTTCGGTCAATGAAAGGGCTTAAACGTAATCTAAGACAGCCAAATCTCCTAAAAATATTTCCTATTTTATTGTATTGCATCTAATATACAGAATATATTCTCGTGATTAACCTTAAAATGGAAAGAGATAGAGCCGTGGAAGGAGGGTATATTAGGAGATACACTACGGCCATGCAGAGCTAGAGAGAGAGAGAGACTTGTGTCAACAGACACTCCTTTATATAGCTTCAAATGAAGTGAGAAAAAGTGAAAATTTTTACTTTTTATTGAGGAGAACCAGGGAAAAAGGTTGACCTTTCTTTTTTCACTTCAGCAACGCGCATTCGAATTCACCAAGATAATATTTTGGACTGGTTTTGCAAACACCTTCTTTGTTGCACGTCCGTGACTTCTATTTTTAGTTATCTCGGTGCTAGAACTGCTGTCTCATCCCGCCTGGATCGAGATAAATAACGCCTCACTTTCTTCATTTCTGATCCAATTCTTATTTATGTTTTCTATTTTTTCCCCATTTGTTGCTCAAACGTTTGTGCAGTTTTCCAACCGTAACCTTCAAAAGAAGCCGAACCATATAAACTGGCTGTCGATCTATGCCTGGAAGTAGATATGCATTGTTGGTTTTTACTGACTCAAAAGGTGCTCTGATCTAACTCGTTGCCACAAGATTCTAAAAGCTCTTATTGTAAAAACGAAAGTGCAAAGGACATGTAGTCTTCTGTAAACATTTTGCAAATGAATTTTGGCCGGTGGACAGAAAGACAAAACCCCCCGATTTACTCTTCGAACATGATTGGTCAACGGATTCGGAGGACTTTGTTATTCAAATTTGGGTGCTAAACTCAGTGTCGTTTTCTCGGCTAAGTAATGAATTAATAACGCGCAAAACGAACTCAACGCACGTTCGAGATTGCCCCGTATTGCTCAATTTTCACGAAGGACTTTCCGGTTTTTTCCCCGAGGCAATTTATGGCACCTTTGTCGGTGATTTTATGTCCTTATTGGCAAGTATAGTTGTTTATATTCCTAGTAGCCGTGTAACTATCAAGTCTGTCTGCCTGATCAGTTGGACCGCTTGTCCGGACAAAGCCTTGTGACAGGTAATGTTGAAAGTGTGAAATCGCTTCCCTATTGTAAACATGGCCGAAGAACAACTACAGAGGGCTGACTCGAACCTCAAGCCGAGCGAGCTGAAGGCTGCATTCAAGCGAAGCAGGGATATCGACGCACTGTTGGACGAGGAAAGAGAATTAAAAGAAAAAGAAGTTCAGATACTTATTTTAGGTAAGCATAGCATTAGGATCTAGTAAATTCCGCTGTCACTATAGTCGGCTCGTTAACGGGTGTATATTCGGTCATCTGTTCCTTAATATTGTTGCCCTATTACCACGGAATGTAGCCAACTTTCACAAGCTCCCAGATATAAAATTCATGGAGGGGCAAAGTGTCCTAGTTTGCCTCGTGAAGCATCTACCCTGGTCATATCATGATCGGCAAAACCTCTTTGAGAATTGTTCCATACCTACTTTTTCAAAGAAAGCCGTTCTTAAGTAAACAGCGACAAAACAATTTACAGCTATTGAAAATCAAAATTCACCTCCGATATAACGCATTAAATATATATCAGCTTAACTGATTTTAAAGGGCACGTCGATGAATTGTTTTTTTCTTTTCTTATTTGGTGAACTACAGGTTTGTAGAACTTATTCTTATTAAGACTCATTCGCGAAAAAATCTAATCCCCTTAAGATAATGTGAGACAGTATGAAAGTGGAAAAATGTTTTAACTAGACAACTTGCTGACAAACACTTAACATTTGCATATTGTATACTTTCGAAAATAGTTCTAATTTTACCAGGAACATAAAATCATAGGCTTTCGCTTTTTGGCGGTACAAATTTTACAAAATACCCAAAATGGTTATTCAGCTAATATTTTTCGCATCGGTGATTATTAATAATTAATAGCGTTCAGAACCAGAAGAAAGTTGGGAAAATGACATCCAATTATGATTTCAAATTAAAACGGAATAAATTTAAATTTATAGATTGGCAAATGATGAAATATAGTAACTCTACAAGTGCAAGCTATTAATATCTGTTGAGAATTAATATATTGATGAATCAGGTATATTGTAGTGACCCATTATTCAAAGTGTTTTTATTCGCTTCATTGTCAAAAATACATAGAGATCAGAATCTAATCAAAAAAACAAAAACAAAATCAATACAACAACCACAAAACTTACTTAAAAAGTCTTGGATTTTTGTTTTTTTCATGGAAGAGTGTTGATGACTTCCCAAGATGACAAACAAATGTTCAGTTAATTTTGAAAATAAGTTCCGTTTTACTATGTTTTGTATTTCCTTGCGTTCCTCTTACATGTAAAGTTTAGCGAGAAAACATGAGAAAAAGTTGCTACATAGGATTTCTTTGTGAATTTGTTTGTTTTGACTGAGATGAACATATTTGTGGTCGGTTTTTAATCCGGAAAAAATTAGCAACGACGACGGCGACCAGCTAGCGACTGCGATGACAAAGCCGAGAACGTCTAAAAAGAAATCGGACACGGCATGTACGCGACAACGAATTAAATTTTTCACTCTTTCTAAACTTGGTCGGGGGTGGGGTCACCAAAAATTCAACACAGGAAAATTCACCTGCATTTGAGATTTAAGCGAGTGAGTATAGTTTTGATAAAGTTTTTGAAAATAACGTGAACTAAATTGAGTTTTTAACTCTGAACTTTCAAGATCACTGCCCTTGCCGTTCCCAAGTCGTTGCTGATCCCATACAGTAAAAACCCGCGTATAAGAACCTAAGCTTTTCCAAGCTAGCCTAAGAAGGTTCTTACAAAAATGGTGCTAACTGGAAAATTAGGCTACTAAGGTTCTTAAACAGTTTTTTTTATTTTAAAAAATAAATAAGGTGTTTGTCATTGGTGGGTGTGGTCTATTTTGGGTCTATTTTTGTTATTGCATGCATAAGATGTTACAAAAATCTTTTTAATCCAAGCCTGTTAAGGACATTTATGAAGTTTATTCAAAGCTGTGCAAGTTAAATAGAACAAAAACAACGTTAAAACATGATACTGTGTTGCTGCTGGGCCAAACATGGTACTGTCATAGAGTCAGATCCCTCGGCTTAGTTTGCACTGACTTGTGTTCTGTTGCCACATATTGGTATTGGTATTGTAATTAAAAGAGACAATCATTAAGCGGGTGGTTTTATCTTCATTTACTCGACTATTAAATTTTTTTTCAAAATAAGAAACCGTTTCAAAATTGAAAGTGAAGAATGATCATCGCAGTAAATTTTCCAATTTAAGCAATTGGAAAGAAGAAGCCTGAAAAAAAAACCAGGGGTTTCAACGGGATTCGAACCCGTGACCTCCGCGATCGGTGTGTTGCTCTACCAACAGAGCTATGAAGCCACACATTGGGAGCGAGGTCAATTTATTGAGTTCATATCTCCCGTGAGGAGTGAAATGATGTGAAGTATATATGAAATAATTCATTTTTGAACTGCGGTTGTAGATGAAAGTGAAGAATGATCATCGCAGTAAATTTCAGTAAATTTGTAGGCTAGAACAGGTTCTTATGTAAAAGGGTTCTAAATGGACAATCTTAGCCTAACAGTAGATAATTAGAGAAAGGTTTTTCACCTCTGGGGCCGCACCTGAATCTTAGCTTACACGCACCACTTCTAGACTTCCCTATAAATCATAGCAATTCCAGAAGGTCTCAAAGAGTAACATGCACTTCACTTGGAATTACCACAAGTTCCTCAGCTTTTAGAAAGGAAACTACAGCACATGAAGCTCTGAGCTGCCATTGTAGTACTTTTAAAAGCATTCATCGCGGCCGATCGAGATCACATATTAGGCTGTTAAAAAAGGACGCTAAAATAATCTCAGGGGATCTTTATAAGTAGATCTTGCCAGTATCGCTCCACGAGGGTTGCAAGCATAGTTATAGGGCCCTCACCACTTTCCAGACCGGGCCGGTGTGATTGTCTTTTTATGCAACATGCTTTTTTTGTCCTTTTTTGTTTGAAAACGGAGATTTTCTCTCTGTGTTTGACCTATCGTCCACACGTATCTGGTGAAACCCTTTTTTTTGGCTAGAGAAAGGCGACTGTGACCAAAAACACAGCTTTTCAAAATCGCCGTCCAGAGTGGAGATTTTATTAAAACGCCGGCGTATCGTTTACGTGTGGGCTGACGAAATCAAATACCACAATGTCATACATCATACAGCGCATGCCCTGTAAGGCATGCAATCGTATGGCTTCGAACAGCTTAAGCGAACAGCGTTTTGTGTGGACTGGCGAAAACGATTCGCCAAATATGCGTAGAAACGTATTTTTTTTTTTATTTTAAAAACGGAGAAAAAAATCTCCGTACGTCTGGATGAGGCCTTAATTTCCCACTGCTAATTTTCAGGTTCCGGTTGCTCTGGAAAGACAACCTTTCTCAAACAACTGCGCATCGTCTATGACAATGGTTACACGGAGGAGGAGAGAAAAGCATTCAAACCAATAATTTATAAGAACATCAGCTCAGCAATCGCTAACATCGTCAAAGGGATGGATGAAATCGGGTTGACTTTTGAAAACAACGATTTGAGAACCAAGGTGTGTATTTTCTATTCAATCCCTAGTCAAATATCTTCCAATGACCCCCTGCCTCGCAGTCTAGAACGGCTACTTTTTAAACTCCCGAAGGGCATTTTACACATTTTCCATGTTATAACTTCAAGGGCGGAGTATCCCTCCAGCAGATGTTCACTTAGCCTAGCCTCTCGGCACAAGACTCTCTCCAAGCGAAAATAAGAGGAACGCCTGGGGATGAGGGCTCCAGCCTCCGGACGTTTTTTGAATCATTCGTTCAGGCGCCTTGAGCGCCCGTGGCATTTTTGTGCGCCATAACTCCCCTTCCTCCCTCCTTATCATACAAATGAGCAGGCTAAGAATTGTGGGGTACTAGTTTATCGAAGTCAATATATATGCGTTATTGACCAAGCGTGAGGTCGAGATGCCTGGATATTTTCCAAGTTCCTTTTTGCGTTTTCATGGACCGAGGCAAAGTCGAGGTCGATAAAAACGCAAAAGCGAACGGGGCCAATACCCAGCTATCTTGACCTAGCAAGCTTGGTCAATAAAGGATTTATTATATGATTGGCCAAAGAGAGAACTTTTTCTTGCGGGACCAACGCTGCAAATCCCGAGCGGGTCCGCTAGGGTAACCAATCGGAACACAGGATTCGCTTTATCTTGCCCGCTCGCGGAATCAGTCGCACAATGGATTATGAATAACTTCCATTTTTTTAACATTCATGTAGAATTTTACTGAGGAATCATCAGAAAACTCCAGCTCAGAGGATAGTGAGAACAACAACTTTTCGCTTCAAGACAGAGTTCCACTGTTGACAGAATTCTGGAATGATCCCTCTGTACAAACCTGCTATGATCAGAGAAATCTATTTTACATCGAAGATTCCGCTAAATAGTAAGTGAATTCATCAGTGACGGAAATAATTCATAAGTAGCTTTATTGTAGTCTATCTGACCTCAATCTGAACTTTTATTACTTCTTAATTACGCTTTCTGCTCTAATGGTTTGTTCTAAAACACATGCATGAAATGGCTGCTATTCCCTCTCCAGTCATGTCATTCGCTAAAATAAGCTAAAGCTTACCCTGTCTTCCTCGCTGTGATTTTGTATGGCCCTGATCTGAGTTTTCAGGCTCTCCGACTAGTTTGATTGTGAAAACAACTCAGTGCAAAAGGAACGACAATATAAGCCTTTTGGCAGAAAGTAGACAACACTGATTTGTGACGGAGAAGATGAATTTTTGACAAAACTACAGAAAGAGAATAGGACACTTCACCCTCCCTCGCTGTTGCAAAGAAAAACATTTTACGAAATTTAAAAGGTTGCCGGTCTCAGTTTTTTATGATTGTTTGTTTGCGTCTTGAAAGAAGGCGATTTTTTTAACAGTCTCGACCTGGCTTGGTAACATATTACATAAGTCATCAGCTTTTTTCGTTTACATTACGTCAAAAAATGAGCCCCAGATGTTTTTTGTTTGTTTGTTTGTTTGTATTTTCGAGCCACGTTTTGCAGTGTTTAGGTTGTGTTTCTTTAAAAATAAAAACCCAAATATAGAGATTCAAGCTAGGGTAACGATAAAAACTGGTAGAATATCTTTACTCCTAAGATACGAAGCATCCGATTTCACTGAAATTTTTTATAGCAGTCGTATCAGGGAGACAAAAGGCTTTTTTGCGCTCGCGCCGAAAATTGTTGTGTTTTGGCTTTGAAGAATGTTTAATGACGAATTTGTCCCAAAGAACTGCTAATGAATGCGACTCCAGGGTAACTGGATTCAGATTAAACCGGCTGAATGTTAATTGATACGAATGTTAATTCATACGAAGTAAGACAGAATCAGTTTTAGGCTCAAGTACATGTATGCAGATCCGGATTCTTCCAATGAAACGCACCCTTGTTGCCGACCTGTAGGTCGCACGCGCAAGTTTTCGGAGCTTAATGCTGCCTCATGTTTTATTTGTTGTCAGCTTTTTTGAAAATCTGGAGCGGTTGTCTCAACCGGACTACATCCCAACACACGAAGATATTCTTCATGCCAGACAGTCAACACAAGGAGTAGAGGAGAGAAAAATATCGGTAAACAACTTCCAATACAGGTATCTACTCAGTACCTATACATATTTTAAAAGAGATTACGAGCGGGCTAAGTTTAAATGCTGGATAGAAAGTTATTGGTTGTTGAATTTTCTGATAAAGGCTCATTTCAAGCGCGGATCCACACCGGTTTCCACCATCTTACAGAAATCGGTCAAATTTTTCATAATAAATATATTTTTAATAAGAAAAAACTTTCCACTGCAAGGCTTCATCCGAGGATAATGGAACTGGCCAATATCCTGTCTGAATGATTCAGAACCCCAGGAAAGGAGACTTAAGGGAGTTAAAATCCGAAAAATTCCCTGGAGAAGCATACCCCCGGACTCCCATAGAAGCGTGAGCCTTCGGCGTTCGTTTAGGAAATCGGTCAGTATTTATCCTAAATCTGGGCCTACCCTCATCCTCGCTAATTATCCTGGTATTAATTCCGATTAATTCATTCAAAGCGCAATGAACTTGCTGAAAAATCGAATCAGATCGAGGAAGGGAAAGGTCAATCATTCGTTTTGGGAAAAACTAAGTGAACTCGTCAACAGACGCGGAAAGCTTTTTTGATAAGTTAAAAAAACCGTAATTATATCAGCTTTACTGACATTCACTGAAGACATTCCTCAAGTGAGGTGCAGTCTTTGCGACTTTGTTTCTGAATTGGGCTTCTTTTCCGTTTACAGAGTAATAGACGTCGGAGGACAAAAAAATCAACGCAAAAAGTGGATTCATTTTTTTGAAGGTGTTACAGCAGTTGTGTTTTTTGCGTCGTTAAGCAGCTATGATGAGTTCGTGGAAGAAGACGAAAACACAGTAAGTCAGTGTTAGAGGAGCCGTTGGAGCTAACTGTTTTAGCTTTCTGAGTGACGGAACTTGGCTAGAAAAAAGTTTCACACCCCTAGACCTCGTTTCAGCTCCTAGGTATTTGTTATTGTTAAATCGATAAAAGCCCCCAGGAAAGAGCAAGGTCGCGGGGGCAGAATAGAAGTTTGAATAGAATAGAATAAATGGGACTTAGTTCGAGTCAGCGGGTGGTTCGAGTCACATGAGTTCGAGTTATCGGGGTTCTACTGTATATAGGGACTGATAGCTGCCCAGCTGTAACCGGCCTCGTTGACAAGCTATTCTCAGTTTGGGGGTTGGTGCCTCGGTGATGACGAAAGAAAGACCCTTGGGAACGAGGTTGCTAAGGTCGTTGGGTGCTTACTTTTAACTAAAAATATTACGCCTCTAGAAGGCTTATGGTAAGGTCATTTCTCGGAAATTCCAACTGAAAATTGAGGACTGTGCATGCGTTTTGACGAGGTAATCCTGTTATTCCGGTTGGTATGAATCAAACGTCAGTTACCATTCACTTTTTCCTTTGTTCCATTCCCGCGCCATATCAGTTAGTTGCCCTTTTTTATATCCACAAGCGTAACAGAAAAAGTAATTCGGTGGTGAGCTAATAAATCGCTTTCTATCATGCAACAAGGTAACCCAACTAGTTTTTTCTGTCAAATAGTATTAAAGCACCCCTTCTTTCTACTACTACGTCATCGTGATGCATTGAAGAGAGAACCCTGCGAACGAATTACTATGCCTCACGACTTATCACAACTAAACTGGTTACGAAAAAGCCGGGAGTCTGGGAAAGCGCCGTTGGCACTTCGGGTCCTTCCCTATTTCGAAGAACATTAATACCACGATCGTTACATCTTTTCACTTCCATTTGGTTTATTTTTATCATGTTTCTCTTCTAACCAACATTTTCTGTATTTTTCAGAACGCCATGCTGGATAGCTTAGAATTATTCGAAGAAATCAGCCAAAATGAGTTCCTTGAAAACACAGAGTTCATTCTCTTTCTCAATAAGCACGATCTATTTGTGGAGAAATTGAAAACATCGAAGCTTTCCTCGTGTTTTCCTGATTACGAAGGTAAGAGAAAATCCGTTTTTAGCTGTTTTTCTTCTTCTTAAAGGGGTTAAACCGGTTTTTGGTCAAACATTTTGTATCAACTCTGCATTTGTTTTCTGCGCGTTTAAACGTGCACAGACAACAAACATCGTTGATACTCATGCAGAGGATCGATACCGTTACGGATGTAATCGATACCACAGTTTTTGAACTTGAATTTTACTAGAGGCGCAGGCATAAAGCAAACTGACGCGTAAGCACAACGGTGTCTTAACACGAGTGAAAACGAACGCTAAAACATACGCAAGAAAAAGAGGTGGAAATGCAAATTTAAAAACGTCAATTCCCTTTTTTATTAGTCTACAGAACAGGTGTTATTTTTGCGCGTTTTTCAGACAAGCGAAGACAGCAATGGCAAGTTTTCCATTGCCAGCTGAGGAAAAAGTCCTGGCGACGAGGCTGGATTGACTGGATCGCGAGACAGACAAAAGATAAAAGATTTTCTCCTGCGTCTTTCCCCGGAGCCCGCACCTCGTGCGCCTGTCTCTCGCTTGCCTTCTGTCGCCTGAATAACGCGAAAAAAGCCGGAAAAGGGCCCGTTTCTACAGGCTATATTTTTTGTGGACTACTCCGACGCTATCTTAATAGACCTTCATGTCACGGTTTTCGACGCCATCTTGACGAGTAGGCAAACGTGTGCGAAATTACAGTGTTTGTATGAGAATCTGATGTCGAATTATTTCCCTAGAACGGCTTTTCTGAAAAAAATATCAATTGTAAACTAAAGCTTCACTCCTAAGGATTCTACTGAAAACAATTGAGGGCGTTACATGCCCTAGAAGACCTAGAACCACTTTTTAGAATTTTCTATACATTTGTCTGTAAGAGAGTCCCGAAAATTACAGACAAATATATGGAAAATCTAAAGCAAGCCTCTGGAGAAATTTAAGCATAGGTACGCCCCCAAAATTTTTTAGGGCAATCCTTTGCTTAGTAACTTAAGTTTACAACTGATATTTTTTTCAGAACAGCCGTTTTAGGGAAATTATTCGACATTAGATTCTTATACAAACAATGTAATTTCTCACACGTTTGCCTACTCGTCAAGATGGCGTCGAAAACCGTGACAAGGTCTATTCAAGTAAGAGTCCTTTTTTCCAATTTTGATGGTTGACAGTTTTATGAGGACATTTAGTCCAACAGTTTAAATAAATATCAACTTCTGTAGAAATTAATGTTAATATTAATCTGTATTTTTGAAGGTTGATGGTAAAAAAGTTCCTATTTTGAAGGTTGACGGTTACAACTTAGGCCGTTTGACGGCAGACGATTAACTCCATACAGACCCTCAATTAACGGTACATACACTCTTCGTTTCAGGTGGTCCTGACCCGGAGATAGCTCTCGCCTACGTTCAGGATTTATTCATGAAAAGGAAACCCGAAAACAAAAAAGTTTATTTACATGTGACTTGCGCAACAGACACTGACCTCATGAGAACAGTACTGAAGGATGTATTCGAGATTCTGGTTGATATAAATCTCAAGAAACTTGCCACTCTCTAGTTCATGTTGCAAGTTGCTTGAAAATCATTTTTAATTTTCAACTGAGCTAATTTTTGCGTTTTTTCGGTAACAGTATCGCGCAGTTTTTGCAGAGACTCTTGCAAACAAAATGGACAAAATGCTTTCTTTCGTCTACATGCTTGAGAAAATCTTTCTGTTTTCTTTTATCCGAGTTGTTTTCCAGTGCGCATTCATAACAATTGAGGAATTTGACGCGTTTGGGTATGTTATCTCTTAATATTGGGTCTAAAATGCAGTTTTATAAACGCGATTGATCATGGTGTGGTAAATTTCACCGGCTGAACTACGAATTTCGTGTTTTATCAGATTCGCTGAAGCTATAAAACGTGATAACGGTACTTAATTTAATCGTTAATGGCACTTAGATAAAAATAAAACTTGTTTTCCAGAACGTTTTATGCATTTGTCAGGTTACACCTTATCACCAGCCTCCTGATCGGGGGCTTCCCTTTTTTGCACAGAGGCGAGCGCGAAACGCGAGTGACTGGTGACGAAGATCAAGGGACCATGGGAAGAAGAAAGATGTGAGGCGAAGCGACGTCTCACCTGTTTTCTCCTTCCCGCCTTCCTTTGCGCGCAAATTTTCAGCGAGAGAGAGATCACAGAGAGACTTCTGGGTACGAGGGAGCATTATCACCATTCCGCCTGAAAGCACGAGATATATAATCATTCCCTCTCACTAGTCCAAAGAGCACACGAAAGTATTCAACACCAACTTCATCTTCAAATTGACAAACCTCTTTTACGATGATTTTGGTTATCAATGCGGCGGTGACCAAAACACTCGACCAAACGTGTGATCACACAAGACCATGACCTAAGGCCCTGAAATACAACGTACACTTACCATATAGAGGGACAAAAGCAAAGAAAAGAGTCACGCCTGTAAAATCTTTTATTATTCAGTGAGGTCTCGCAAATGGATTCTAAATAACAAATCTTCTATTATCGAGTTCTTGTATCTGTATTCCAGAGACTCAGTTCAGTTGATGGTGTGTTGTCACAACAGGGCATGTCAATGGTGATGCTTCTGAAACTGATGCGATTTCACGTCCATAAGAGCAATATAAGTTAGAATCCTCATTATCAGTCCGTGCAACACTAAGTGTTAAAATAATGCATCCTTTAACTCTCATCTTGGACGGCCGCGCCCTCTCCCCATTCCACCTGCAGGAGGACCATCTCCACCTGACTTGGGGTTCTTCACTGTTTCATCGACAGACAGAATCAGGCAAGCAGCTTCTGTAGCAGCCGTAATGGCATTGATTTTGACTATGGCTGGTTCCCAAACACACGACTCAAAATTATCAGCAATATCTTCGTTATTGATGTCAACCCCATACCACATACCTCCTGAAGTGAGAGAAAATATAAGACAATTAACACTATGGCCTAAGAAAACAACCTACAGGTTTCCCGGCGAAATGACGTCTGAGAAACGACAGCAAAAATTCCACGCTGATGACGTTTCACCACCCAGATCTGGAAAGTGCTTCTAATTGGTCGAGCCGCGTGGGGAAATTTATTTCAACCAGCCAGAAGCATCTACCCATCGTAGTGAACATCATCAGTTTGGAATCTCTGCAGTATATCTTTCTTCATTTCAACCACCAAGAAAGTTTACAAGGTTTTGAATGTGCTGCGCTTTTACGAAATCAAAACCAAAACAGTTTTTTTCGCTACTGTTTTTTTTTACGTCCATCTACAATTTTAAAGGTTGTCAGAGAAGAATTGTAAGTTTAACTCTGATTATGAAAAAGTTTCTATTTTTGACTTATGCAAACTGATTCCTATTTCCTTCTAATCTCCCTACCTAGGTAGGAGAAATTAAGTTTATTCCTACTAGCTATTTTCTGCTGGTTTGATTTGCTTCAAAACCCCTATCTCTTCCACCAGACAGTAATGTACATTAATTAACTGGAAGTTTCAAAAATTATCATATTTAGGGGGACAATGCAAGATTCTTGTTAGTTATCTCGTGCATAACACTGATAATTTCTCACCTTGGAAGTGCTTTTGCCTCAGTTTGTTTAAAATGTTAGTTGCATCAAATCCTGCATTATCACAAAGCTGTCTGGGAATAATTTCCAAAGCTCTAGCCATAGATCCAATTAGGAGCTGTTCTTTTCCAGCTACTGAGCGTGAATAATCTCGCAGATACTTGCTAAGCTCCATTTCAACAGCTCCCCCTCCTGCTACAACTGCATCATTTTTAATAGCTCGTCTAACAATCATGATTGCATCATGAAGAGATCGTTCTGTTTCTTCGATGAACTGTTCTGCTCCACCTCGCATGATAACAGTGCATGTCTTGGCCTCAGGACAGCCAGTGAAAATATTATACCTAACATATGGCAACAAAAAATTAGTATTGACGAAGTCTTTTTGTAACAATTTCAGTTAAACTGTACTCAGTCCCCTATTTTTCCGTAATATCTTTAAAATCGAGGGTCTACCCTTACAGTCAGCCACTTTGGTTTCAAATACACCGGATGTAGCCTGGGGGGGAGTATCAAATCAACTTAGAAGGTGGCGAACGGTTTTGGAGAAGGCAGGATTCTCTATTTTCCTCTTTTCCATTTTTCTCTCCTCCCTCCTCCTACTCCTAAAAACCCTGGGGCCCACCCTATCAGTACATTATTTTAAAACCAAGATAGCTCAACGTAATGCAAAACACTTGATCTCAACTATCTTACATAAAAACATGGGACTGTGAACGGTACAAATTTCTGTTAGCTGCCAGCCTTTATTTCAAGGTCTCCTATAACTCTACTGATCCTATCATCTTGTTTTGATAGTGTGGGTTTTTTCATGACTGGTCAGGAGTTCTTCTAACAGTAAATTTGTTTAACCAACTTAGCAACAGAGTGCTCTGCTGGCTAGCTACTTTATGACTGCCTGAAAACCAAATGGTTAAGCCAATAAACAGCAGACTGCCTGGCAGGCTCATCATTTTTAACAGTTAAATCTCCAATAAGCAACCTCCAAAAATGCCCAGATAACTTTTTCACATACCGCTCTCCACCAATCTGCTGCTCTTCAAACAATTCACATCTTCCTAGCACACCATCAGTCATGTTGTTAACCGACGTCTGGATTGCCCCTCCACAAGCTTTCATAGTTCTTTTTAAATCTTCTTCTACAACACGACCAGCACAGAACATGTCCCTTAAAAAAAGTAACAATCAACAATTACTAAAGGACCAGAAAATAATCACGCCAACATCATGGTGGCACACCTGGTTTATGAAAGTGGAAATGATGGGTCTAGTTGTAACATGCATGTAATATGGGTTAAATCAATGGGAAAAGAAACAGTTTTTTTTTTCTGTTGTTAAAATCAACACAACCTGACATGATACCCAGTAAAACTCAGTGTTGAAATTCCCAGGAAAAAAAGGAAATCCTTTTCAAGGGACCAAGCCTAAGAAAACAGCCAACATTAGACGCTATCACTGGTTTCCCTGTAAAATGACATCTGAGGCACAAATGTAGAAATTCCATACTGATGATATGTCACTACCCAGATCTGGGTAGTACTTCTGATTGGTCCTGCAACGAGACAAATTTGTATGGAATTTCTGCAGTCATTCCTCAGATGCCATTTTGCAGGGAACCATCGAAATTTTGGCTCTTTTTTCAGGCTTCTTGGGACCAAGCCATCAAGTCTAAAATGTCATTGATTTCAACACTTCTCACCTGTCTGCAAAGTACTGTGTAGCAACATCTCCAATGGGTAACTTAGAGAGGACGACTTTAGCACCACTTTGAACGATCTTGTCCAGTTTATCATAAAGGATATCCCACTCAGCATCTACAATCTGCTGATATTCCTACAGTGTACATACAGAATGAAACAACACTCCAGGTCATTAACAAACAAATGAACAAATACGTGTACTTTCATTCCCCCACTGTCTTGTCCACAACTAATAACATTTTGGCATGCCAGAGTTCTCTGGCTTAAATGATTTTAAGTCCTATCTCGCATTTGTATTATCAATTTTTTAACAAAAAGATCAAAATAATGCATATAATAGTCATCTAAAAAACAAACACATCAATCTTGAAAGCTCCATGTGTGACCATCTCCCATAAGCCCAGCTTTTTATAAATGGCCACCTCCTACAAGTGAGAGCAATCACTTTTTTGAGTGACATTTTTCTACTTTTCCCAGGTTTTCAACCTCTTGTACGCTACCACTTGACCACTGATTTGATCGCTACATTTGCTATAATATATTGTACTTCACTACTGATCAGAGTAGGGAAAGAGCTTTTATAACAGTCTGGAACTAATTCTTCCCTAACTTAGAGAATGCATGCAATAAATTCTCCTCCAAAAAGTAGATGTGTTCAGACTTCTCCTCAGAAGAGACCCCCCCCCTCCCCCCATGCTCTAATTCTGGTACATGATCACCTTCCAGAAGTGACCAATAAATCTTCACATTATGGGCAGACACTTATGTGAGGTTCGAATGTATTCAGTTTTTCGTTCCCGTAGTTGCCAGCTCTACAAAGCATCAAATCAATCATAGTAAAAAAATAAAAGATGGTGTACATTATAAAAGGACTCTAAAATTTGTCACATCTCTGAAATTTGCTACCATCATAAGCACTCCTCTTTTTCACTGAAAGAACAGTCATTATTTAGTGGTCACAGTGCATTTTACTAGTTTTCCCCATGCAGGACTTCAAGAGAAACTATCAAAGTTTGGAACATACTATACAGCTGTGAGTTACCTCCACTTTGTCAAGTCTAACTTCTGCATTCTCTTTTTCTGCCTTCAATTCCAGTTCCACATTCAGGAGTGCTATTTTGGGATTCTTATACTTTTTAGGCTGCATTTCAAATCCGGCATAAGAAAATGTTTTCTTGAAAGCAACACCAGCAATGAGTCGTGAATCCTCTAAAGCTCCTCCTTTCACTTTCTTCATGCCAATCATGCTGAGTGGTAGCAGATCATCAAGCAACATTACAGCATCCACAACCATTTTAGAGAAGAAATCCTTGTGAGCAGCTACCAGTTTGGAGCTTAGAGCTGTAGCAGCACATCTCTCTAGTAAAACTCTCATTTCTCTGTAAAAAAAAAATAGTTGCAAACATACACATGTTCATGTAAGCACACAATGTAGTTGATTAATCCAGGCACAAACCACAGGAGTCCAACATGAGGCAATCATGTCAGGGTTGTCACTTATTCTTTAGTAAAGTAGTTGAGGAAATGAAAAAAGGTGTGTGGGTTTTCAGCTTTTCTGCCATTGTCAATGCACTTTTTTACACCAAATAGAGTAGACAGAAATCAAACTTCCAGAAGCTCAGGGCCTGTCCCTGACCTTGACAAAAAGTCCTCCAAAATCTTATATACATGCTGCTGCTTCCCTCATTTGTGCATTATGTAACATACAATAGTTGATTAAATCACAGGGCTATCCTTAGTATTTATCTGTATTGTAATGCACACACAATTTTTACGGATGTTTTTGTCTTTAAAGAAACAACATAAGTACCCATAACTATAGATGTATGCTTCCATATTATTTGACTGTAACAAACAAAAGATACAGGAAATTTCAGATGACATCACTGAAAACTGACTGAAGGGTGTATCCTTCAGTTCATGCCAGTTAAGCTTCATTTGTCTGTCAATGGTTTCAATGAGTACAGACGACTGATGAAACATGTCGGCTACTTTGCCCAGAGAAGTCGGCTTGTTTGTTCCAAAAGAAGAAGCAATTAGTTATTGTAATGTCATAAACAAAAAATATACAGTCATAAAATCTGAACGAAACGTAATTATGATGTGTTTTCATGAAGGCCCACTTGTTGTATAAATTATTATGCTTTAGTTATGTGAATGCTATGTTTCAGTCCGCAAATATTCACACACGTTCTTTTATAGGTTTTACGCAGAGTTTGTTCATGTGCTAATGTAAGTAATCACGTTATCATCATTTGATTATTGCTTGTGGGAATTGATTGTGAGGCTGATAATACTTAAACGAAGGCAACATTTTCCTTAGTGGAAAAAAACACTCTTTTTGGTACTCAGTTTAGTCCTAAAAATGCTGAAAATCACACCGAAGGGCTTTGAAATTTCAAAATTTTCTGGAGGAGCACACCCCGGGACCCCCCTAGAGAATGGGGACTAACGTTCCCTTGTTCACCCCGTCAGTTACTATTCTTAAACCTGCTGGCTACTTCAATTTTTAGCGAAACCCCTGCTCTGTAATACAATATCATAAGGCAAACAAGCTGCATGATTCACATCAGTTGCTGAAGAAGCTTCAACACACAAGAATTTGCTTTACTGCTAATGAGCATAAAAAACTATCATATGGGCATACCGATAAGAACAATGAAAGGTGATAAATATTGTACATCACTGACAGTGAAAACAGAACAACATGTACTTACTTTGGATCATCTTTCTTGATACGCACAGCAATCTCTTTAATCCTCTTTATTGCCTAAAACAAATATTGTCGAGTTAATATATCAGTACAAAATAGAGTATTAAAATCATCTTGATGAAATTAAGGGTCACGATCTTGTTCTAAACTTGCTCAATGACCTCAAATAGGTATGAAAAGCAAAGAAATGGTTCAGTCTCTTCCAAAAGTAGCTGGGCCCCCACTGCAGCATTTTATTCTGCTATAGAGAAGAGAGACAGATAAGAGGTGGGGGAGTATGGGCGAGCTTGGAATTGAATGAGCTGGAACACTTTTGCCACAAATTACAGCTGTAGCCCCTGGTTATAAAAATACAATCAGATTTGACCAACTTTGATGTTGTGATAGTTTACTAGTCCAGAGCTCTAAAAGGAGCAAACCCAATATTTTGTCATAAATCAAAGCAATTTACAAAGTTGGCTTGCCCATCACATAACTTGCGATACAAAGACACTAGTCTAACAGCTGGACTACTGAATAGCACTTTCGTTGTAAGTACAGTGGTGTATTGAATTAAAACTCACTAAATTTGCTGCCTTCCTAAAACTTTTCACTGCCACTTGTGCATGAACACCTTCTTCAATAAAAGGCTTCACTTGCTTGAGAAACTCACTGGCAAGAAGAGTGACTGTTGTTGTTCCATCTCCAACCTAAAGGAGATAACAATAACATCACACTTCATCATTCAAAAACTTCAAAGCCATCCCCTCCCTACCCACACCACCCCTGACAAAAAGATGCTTTTCACTTACTACTTACCACTACAGTCAAACCTCCCCTAAGAAACCATCCACAATGAAAAATTAGTGGTTGCTTAGGAGAATCAAAGCCCAGTGGTCTCATTAAAGAAAATGTCCCGAAACATTTACCTTTTGGTAAAGAATTACTAGACGCAATTTCTAAGTGACAACATGCGTAGTTCCATATTGTTACTAAACATTCTAAGGGTGAGAAGCCTAGTACAGACTTTGAACATAGAGGACATAGAGGCCAGACTATGTGTCAAGAAGTTGTCTGCAAGAGGTTTAAAACAAAGGAAAATTACAAACCCTCACCAAATGATAAAAAGTTGTCACAATCACTTCCAGGAGGTTGTTGTTTAGGAGAGGTTCCAACAATAGGGCTTTGATTGTGAACATTTATAGGAGGTGGTCACTCACAGGAGAAGGTTGCACATGGATGTTCAACTGTATTGATCCCCATGGATCGGTTTATGGTTGTTTCGCCTACAAGTCTTTTCACCAACATGCTGTTTGCTAATGTCTTAATTGTTTTGAATATGTGTTAGGTCTGTTCCCAACTGCTTTCACCTGATCAGTGGCTTAAAGAACAAAGTATATACATGTGTACGCCACTTTTCGTATAACAGCTGAGAGAATGAGGTAAACACATGCTCAGCGCCCATTTGGCTTCTTAAGAGGAACGACTTAAGACTTTAGCAAACAGGGCATTAGCAAAACGACTCTAAGGTGAAACGACTGGTCACCCATGGATCAACCTTCATGCTTAGTGCGTAAAGGTTGTGTGCTCTTTCGTAGGTCACCACTTATTTCCCAAAAGGGATGGAGTGCTAGGTGGGGGTACAAGAGCATGACCTCGTTCACTTACAGGCGATCGGCGAATTTGCAAAACAGTTTTCTAATTTTTTTTTTGCAGCATTATCATAACACCGGAGGAAAAGAGAAATACTAATCGTGCTGTACATCTAAGTACATGACACACCTTGTCAAATCTAATTACAAAGGGCAAAAAAATACAAACCTCGGCGTCTTGTGACTTAGAAATATCTACAAGAGTTTTCGCAGCAGGGTGAACAACATCTAAAAGGCTGATAATAGTAGCTCCATCGTTGGATATTGTAGCTTTCCCTGAAACGACCAACAAACGGAAATATATAAGTTAATTTTATAAGCTTAAAAGATCGGAAGATCGAATAATAATAAAGTTACCAAACTGAAACCCACCTGAACTGTTTACAATCAGTTTATCCATTCCTCTGGGTCCCAAAGTTGTCCGCACTGCATCAGCAATAAACTGGCAAGCATTTATATTGCTGATGAGTTGTGGGACGCCTTGGGAGGAATCTGTGCCCTCCTTTAACAAAATTATACCAGGTTGCTGTCAAAAAATACAACACCAAACATGTGAGTGAAACAGCTTCGAATTAAATAGAAGAAATTTAAACAAATTGCTTATAACGAGAAAGGGGAATCTTTGCATTGTGGAAATTTTCAACCAAACTTAATTTTTAGCGTCGAGCATCAACGATGGAAAAGGATTCTTCATCCCTCCCTTACCATCATGTTTTTGCTGTCAGGCGGCGGATCTGCTGTGTCCCTGCGCAAACACTGATTTTCTTGTTAGTTTTCACGCATCAAGTTGTGACCATTCACGCTGACCAAAACCTTCATAGGCTCATTTCTGAAGAGCGCCCGCTGATCATAAATCCTTGTGGCTCAACAGTCAAACTAGAAGTTTCGTTCTCCAAACATCGAATATGTATTCAATTTTTTGCTAACCGCTGGCAGTTTTTTATAAACACGACGTGGCGACCTACCAGTTGCCGGTGTGTTTTGTTATCTTGTTTATATTTACCATCAAAATAATGCGACGGTTCTGTTACTACTTGAAGTCATGAAGACTTTGGGCTGTGGTCGAAGTACTATAGTGTTAAGTTGCTTTTTACAAGAGATAGTATTCCGTAAAATAGAGTATGGTGGGAAGGTCAGTTTTTATGATTTCATCAGTGTTTAGCTGCACGCGCATAGGCTTATATAAAATGGACGGAAGAAATATTGCAATATTATTTCTTTTTTCATTCACTGAGTGACCTATCATAGGTTAAACTAGTTTTGAACTGAATATGTTGATTTGGTGTTAGCATGCTCGATTTTTTCACTTAGCCAGAAAAAATATTTCCATATCAGTATATAAGCTTACGTATAATATAAGATAATAAGCTTAAATTTGTTAGATAATGTTGTGAACGTATGAGTTTTAGAATCAGTTACCATTTTCGATTAGATATGTTAGGGTTATTTTATTTTTGTTATTAACCTGTCCTAGAACATATATTCTACCTTATGAATACAGTAATTTTTCAAACTTCCCGATCATAGAAAATATCATATCTTCTAGGTCAAACACTGTCAGTCCGTGTTCTTTACAGGTTTGAGACGAATTTCAGCTGACACAATTGTTTATTATCAAAGATTCATTAATTACAACAAATTCCTCTATATCATTGATGGATCTTGGATAGAGGCCTTCCTTCTTTTCCTTACTTTTAGACCAAAATCAAGTCTAACCGGGCTAAGGCACTGAGATACTTTGTCTCAGCCTGAGAGCAACCCCACCCCCTCCCCAGCCCTCTTTGCCCCCACCACCCGACTGAAGGTCTGGGTGTGCCACTGTCTGCTACTGTATATAACAGTCACCCTATCTACATGTATTTATGTCCCCTTCTACCTACATGTGTGTTCTGGTATGGTTATTTGACACTATTGTTTTACATCAATGTAGGATATCAATTCGCTGGACAAGCTTTCCTTCATTCTTAAGACCAGGAGTGATATCAAGTTCAACTGACAGCACATGCATTTCAGGAAGAAGACTATTTTCACATCTCTTTGGAACACAACCAAGTCCTTTGCGATATCTCTTAGTTATTGGTTTTATTGTAATTCTGTTGTTGGGATTTCTCTTATTTATGTCTGATTCAAGTTGGTACCGCAGTAGAACTAGACGCTTTACCTACCATGACTTTTACGAGCATGGGGCTGATTCAAATTATCATTATGGAATTGTTATTGACTGCGGCAGCAGTGGATCTCGTGTTTTTATTTATTATTGGCCACCACACAATGGAAACCCAGATGAGTTGCTACAAATTAAGCAGATGGTAGATTCTCGAGGAAACCCTGTAAGGATGAAGATCAAACCAGGTAAATGTTTATTGTCTTTTACAGTGAGCACAAGATCTTCTCAGATCCAGTTGTGAAAACAAAGTATTGTCAACTTTGGCAGGCATGTGTTTAACAGTGTTCTGTTACTATAATATGTCCTGGATTTTGTATTTTTGCCCAAGTCAGGCAGAATTTCAGTGGGAAACAATTTCGTCATTAGATATCACATGACCTCAAAGTAGCCAGGGTTGTTGCTATCTTGAGAAGTGCACAATAATTTGTTATTCGAAGTAGTAAGGGATTTCACTGTTTTGTTGTGTTGTGAAAATGTGTTTTCACCAAGTTAGTATCCAGAGCTGACCCTTTATTGGCCAAGCAAAATCCCTACCCCTACTTCCTTAATTCAAGTCCCATTTATTAAAAGTAGCTAGTGAGAGCTGGTGCAGTTGAGGATTGAATACTGATTATAACAAACATGTAAATTATGTTCCATATTTATGCCAACACTAAAAACTTTTACTAAGTTGTGTAATTACCTACACAACTTTTGGCCGACGGAAAAGAATTACCCATTGCATAAACTTTTCTAGAACCTTAACCATTACATATATCACCACTATTCATTTAAAGGAATATCCAGCCTTGTTGACGAGCCATCAAAGGCGTCATCTTATATTGAACCCCTTCTGGACTTTGCTGCACTAAAGATCCCAGAACACAAACATAAGGAGACTCCACTTTACGTCCTTGCAACAGCTGGAATGCGAATGCTTTCTACTGCAGATCAAGAATCTATTTTGGATGACCTGAGAGTTGATATTCCATTGAAATACAACTTTCATTTTATGGCATCACACGTTGAAGTTATCACTGGAAAACAGGAAGGTACATGTGCTAAATAAATTTTTAAATTAATTTTGTTACCATTTTGTATTTCTCAAACTTTAAAGCCATTATACTTGACTGTACTGTCCTGCTGTGCGTCCCTATCTCCTCCCTACCCTCCCTCCCATAGTAGTACAATGAACCTCACTGGCATTAAAAAAGTTTTAGGTAAATTTAAATTTTTAGGTATTAAGAATTCAGGATTCCTACATAATTTAAAACTTATTTCATACCTTTTATGGTATATTTGGTTTTGTCAAGTCCATTATTCAATTTCTTTTTTAACAGGAATATATTCTTGGATTGGAGTTAATTTTGAGCTAGGACGATTTGACCATTCACATGATGCAAAAGGTAGATACCAGCAATTAAAACTGTTTGAAGTGCTAAACCTTGTGCGGTGTGTGACTTAGTTAATGAGTAAATTATGTGAAAAGTTAGAAGGAAAGGCATCCAGGGGTCAGTTAAATAAAACTTTTGTAAGTTTAATTTACAAGTGTAGCTATTGTTTTAGAGTATGAAGACAATAGCCACACTTGAAAATTACACTTGTAAAAGTTGTCTTAAATTGGTTCCAGGATAAAATATTATTTATCACTGCATCAGTTAGGCTGCTGTCTGCAATAGTTACTATTTGATTTTTTAACGGTCTTCAAAAATGATGCACTAATACAGTTGAACTTCTCCACAATGGTGCAGTTCTTGGGGGCAAAAGAAAGTGGCCACTGAAGAGAGGTTTAAGCAGGAGTTTATATATGGATGTCTGCCAAAATAGTGGCTATTGTAAAGAGATGGCTGTTGTGGACAGGTGGCTATTAGTAGAGGTTCAACTGTATCACTGAAAAAAAAAATGAAGTTATTGTAGCTTTACATAACAGTTCGTCAATGAACCATGATAATTGTTGGATTTGGTTCATTATCCTCTGGGGGTGGTCTTTTCTAAGCGTAATGATAATGTTAATAACTGTTATTGTTTTAGGTTTATACAGGTGTGAATTTGTAAACTTGCATGGAAGTCTGTTTCTAAAGACACCTTCAGTTTGCAATGTCAAAAACTCTACTTGAATGCATGTAGAAAGTAGCTTTCAGGCTTCGATTAGGCCAAAGACTTCACAAATTACTGTCAAAGTACATGTACTACTTGAAAAGAATCAACAAAAACGTTTACAGGACCATAATATTTTATTCCTCCACTATTAACACACAGGGGAAGTTCAACATTTTATTTTTTTTTTTTGGTAGAGGAGATGATGGCATGAATGTCTTAACTTACAGATAAATTTGTGTCACAGGGTCACCAGTCTTGAATAGTAGTGTGTCTGAAGTTAGCCGCAAGAGCACCGTAGGTTCCTTGGACATGGGAGGGGGATCTGCACAGATTGCTTTTGAAGTTGCAAAGTCTGTAAGTACTTGGAATGTCAAACACAGCACTGTTGTGTTGTACAGTATTTTCTTGACCTTTTTACATTACTGCAAACACCCGATTTAAAGTTAGCCTTGTATTCCCATTTCAGGCCAACATAGGGCTTTTTTGCTTTATTCTTATGAAATAAGAGAGTTCTGGGCATGGCTTCAGTTAACCAAGGGCTTAGCTGTCAAGCTTGTGATTTCAAACCCAAACAGAACCACCAACGACTATTGCAGTTATAAGCCCCCTCACATTTGAGCTTCTCTGTTTTTAAGCCCTCCATAAACCCCTTGCAAAGATGTATACACTTAGAGCTTACAAGTGGAAGTTTATGAAACTCTATTCTTTTTTAAGAATACTGTTAATAGTCATCACCTCTGATTTATGTGAGTACACATTCTAATTTCTAATTCTGTGTCCCTCAATATAGGTATGGGTCCCATCAGAGCTGAGTGCACAAGTCAATCTTGGCTGTGACTCTCATCAAACCATACACAATTACCATCTGTATGTTGCAACATTTCTTGGGTTTGGTAGCAATGCTGCGCGAGACCGATACACAGAACTTGTCCTTAGTCAAAATGAAAGTCTTAGATTTGATATGTGAGTATTTTTTGAAAATAGTAATTCTACATGTACTGTCAGTAATACACATGTACTCTGATTATAAATTAATGCACACTGTAACAAATTATGCGTTCTGAATAGTACTTCCAAGTATGCCAAATAGCCTGCTACTTTTTGAGCAACAGAAACTTCTGAAGGTCTCCCAAGTGTTGTGGGAAACAACACCATGAACATTCACTTTTAGCAAACAAGGAACTTATTGAGATAACTTTTAGAGAACAGTGGAGCCACTGAGTTTTTTGGTGTGGTGTTTAGGGGAACATTGATTTCATAAATTGCGGGAAAAGGGATCATGACAAAATTGAACTTTAGGGAAGATGCGAAATTATTTGGGGGGACTCGAAGGAGAAACTTCAGTTATTCAGAGAACAAGGGAACATAAACCCACCATGGGAGGCACTATTTTCCCTGCACCATTCAACCAAAAATTCCAGAATTCTGCGACTTGAAACATAACTGAATGGAAAGGACAATTCTGGAAGAAATTTTCAGACATTTGTGTTTGCCTGCCAAGGTTGTCCTCTCTTTCCCAGTTTTTGCCTCACGTTCATAATAGGCATTCAAAAATGAAGGGGAAGGCCAATTTATTCAGATGCATAAACATCACATTCTCAAACACCCGTTTCATCCCCTTTTCTTTCAAACTCCTGCAATGAAGGCTAAATTTTACGTAACTTCATTAAGGTGACTCGACCCAGTTTTTTTTTTTTTTTTTTTTTTTTTTTTTTTGGGGGGGGGGGGGGGGTACCATCCTACTTTGAAGCTCTCTGGTATCCCCACCTTTACTTTTATCGTAAGTCTAACACATAGAATGGATAACATATAGATCAATCTACAATATAACATAAAATTTTTGGCGATCGGAGTAAATGTCACGTGGTTATAATGCCACGCCCCTTTGAGGTCTGAGTCGAAAATCTGCTGTTGCCGGTATTTTTTCGTGAAAATCTCTCGGCTACGCATAGTGCGCATTAGTGCCTTGCGCTGAACAGAGTTTCACCAAAATCGCAAAGACCCAATTCGAGAAATTCAGCGGTTTCCAAATTTAGGTCATAATTTATGCGAAAATGATAAGCAAACTTTACACGGATCATATCTAATAAACTAAGAGATTCATCCCTTTATTTTGGGCATCGTTATACCAGATGAGTCCTTGCAAGTCAGCAAAAGGCTTTAGGGCCTTGTAAATGCACGCGATTTCGAGCAAAGCAAACATATAGAAATTATAGTTTTCGCTATTTGTTGACGTTTGTCAACGTTTAAGAGTCCTTCTCACGAAAAAAGCATTTTCTTAAAAATTCGTAGTTTTTTTTCCTTCAAATTTTTCCAGGGCCACAATTGATTAACTAACTATCCGGACTCTGAATTTCATGGTCATTGAAAAACTGTGACATTATCTTCTATAAGCCCAAACTTGAGTAATCATTGAAGATTTTGAAAGTTTTGGCTGAGTTTGTGCTTTGGGAGTTGTCTATTGTTTCTAGTCTGTCATTATACAGCATTCTGGTTCAGCGCGCGTGCAATGACCACGCTTGGCTGACTTCCGAATGCTCACCGAGATATTCCCGTCACATGTTGGTTTAATTATTGGCTTGCATTAAACCTTTGGAAAAATGATATTTTTTTAATAGTAAGTAGATTTAGTGTGTATCACTTCTCGATTTTTTTGCAAAGGCACAAGAAACACGAGAATTGATTAAAAATTGTGAGTTTAACCTCTGTGTATCACGCGATGGCCTGTCTCACTGTACCAAAATTATAATAGAGAGTTTTAGATCGGAGTTTACCGCGAACCTCTAACCGCGGTTTGCGGTTACACGTTTGCGGTTCGACGTTCAAATATAATTCGATTTAGATTGGCGGTGGATTAAAGAAGTGGATTCCGGTTTATTTTTCCATTTAGAAATAGAAGAAATATCAATCAGTGAAAATAAGAGAAATTTACAGTAACACTGGGTTTATCTAGCAGCAAAGAGCTGTAAATTCTTACATTAGTTTTTCTCGCAAATTTACGGCCGCCATTTTGAATCAGCAGCCATGAATGGCACTTGTTTTCAAGATCCAATAGGATTTATTAAAGTTAGCATTTTGCCCGAATTTGTGCCTCTGTTAATGGATAAAGACTTGCTCAACAAGATTTTTGTATCATAACGTGGGATAAAACAAGAATTATACGCTAAAAGCTTTCAGGTAAATGACATACGTGAAAACCTACCTCCCCACGTTGAAAACGCACGTCGTAAACCTCAAACGTGACGCGAAAGACTTGTCACGTGACCTCCAGCGGTTAGAGGTTCGCGGTAAACTCGGATCTAAAACTCTCTAATATCTCGGTGAGCATTCGGAAGTCAGCCAAGCGTGGTCATTGCACGCGTGCTGAACAAGAATGCTGTATCATGACAGACTAGAAACAATAGACAACTCCCAAAGCACAAACTCAGCCAAAACGCTAAAAGTCTTCAATGTTTACTCAAGTTTGGGCTTATAGAAGACAATGTCACAGTTTTTCAATGACCATGAAATTCGGAATCCGGGTAGTTTGTTAATCAATTGTGGCCCTGAAAAAATTTGAAGGAAAAAAAACTACGAATTTTTAAGAAAATGCTTTTTTCGTGAGAAGGACTCTTAAACGCTGACAAACGTCAACAAATAGCGAAAACTATAATTTCTATATATTTGCTTTGCTCGAAATCGCGCGCATTTACAAGGCCCTAAAGCGTTTTGCTAACTTGCAAGGACCCATCTGTTATAACGATGCCCAAAATAAAGAGATGAATCTCGTAGATTATTAGATGTAATCAGTGTAAAGTTTGCTTATCATTTTCGCATAAATTATGACCTAAATTTGGAAACCGCTGAATTTCTCGAATTGGGTCTTTGGGATTTTTGTGAAACTCTGTTCAGCGCAAGGCACTAATGCGCACTATGTGTAGCCGAGAGATTTTCACGAAAAAATACCGGCAACAGCAGATTTTCGACTCAGACCTCAAAGGGGCGTGGCATTATAACCACGTGACATTTACTCCGATCGCCAAAAATTTTATGTTATATTGTAGATTGATCTATATGTTATCCATTCTATGTGTTAGACTTACGATAAAAGTAAAGGTGGGGATACCAGAGAGCTTCAAAGTAGGATGGTACCCCTCCAAAAAAACTGGGTCGAGTCACCTTAAGAAAACCATTTTGTTGAATACGTGGCACTGTTATTGGTTATTTTTTTACCCCGATAGTAGAAGTTGTTGTCAGTTCTTCTGTTGTAATTTTCTTTATTATTAGTTTCCAATGCAAAATAGATAGATGTGGAGAAATATTATATAGTTTTTAACTTTTAAGTTTGTGGAAGAAATCGTAAGGTGTTACCATTCAAATGAAACCTTCAACAGCCGTACGTTAGCATGAAACTATTTTTCTTGTAGCATTCTGTAATACTTAACTTGAGTTGTTGCAAGTGATGCAGGATTATCTTTGAAATAAACGGTCATGAACAAAAGATTTAAAGTCACTAACAGCATTTTATGTTCTTCTTGTAATTTTACAGTTCAACTGAAGCGTATCAAGATCCTTGTCTACCAACTGAATGCACTGAACAAGTTATCCACAAGGGAAAGCAATACAAACTTATTGGAACAGGGGAATATTATAAATGTCAAAAACTTATTCTTCCGCTTTTGAACCTGACAACACCCTGTCCAAGGCAACCATGTTCTTTTAACGCTGTTTACCAGCCTCATATAGACTACAACCAGGTGGAATTTTATGGATTTTCTGAGTATTGGTACTCCATGCACGATGTGCTAAGAATTGGCGGACAGTACAAGGCAACTGCCATGAAGAAAGCTGTAGAGGTAAGTCTTCAGCATGTCAGAATCTGGAGCTGAAGAATGTTCGCGACATATTAAGATTTTAACAGAAGTTTTTGATTGATTTGACTGTCTTGTTAACTAAATACTGTATAGTACATCGTCTGCATCAAACAATAAAGACCTAGCTTGAACATGCAAACGGATTCAATCCTTGCAAAAGTCTTTTTCTAGCTCTAGTTCATTTATGCAAATTTTGTGTACTTTAACTCTTTTCGAACTCGCTTTTATTTATTTCCAATTCCTTGATAATGATGCCATGGGGTCGTCGAAAAGTTGGAACATTAGAGAGATATAGAGCATCTTCACTCACGTGGCCAGCGTCTGTGCTAATTCATTAGAACAAAAGAAAGTTTTTTACATAAGAAAAGAGTTCAATTCCCACAGGGTTGTCTTGGTACACCAATATGGCCGCCGTTTCATTGTTTTGGAACACCAATATGGCCGCCGTGACGTCATCTGAATACGCTCTTCAGCAAACGGCAAACGTCAGATTTTAAGTTTAGAATTTCCCAAAATAGGAAATGAGCAGGTAACAACTGGGAAAACTAATTCTTATGAATAAAACTCGCGTGAAACAAATAATTTTTTTGTAGAAGTAATTAATAGTTTAAACGACAAGTATAGGGGTTAAAAGAGAAACTTGGTCACGTGGTACAAATTCATGTTTGCCGTTTGCCGTAAATGTGACCCTAAATTTCTCTAATATCTCGTTTACTTAGTTTTTACATGCTTATCAATACATACTTTTCGGGTGGAGAGAAGCGGCAACCGGAAATACGTGTGCGTTCGCAGGCTATTCTTCAATCAGGCCGGCATTCCCTCTTACTTTCTGACTCATGAAGTGTTTGTTTATTCCCGGCAGGAGTTCTGCAAAACCCGTTGGTCAGTTCTTGTCAATCGACACGCAAAAGGACTCTATCCACTTGCAGATGCTCATAGGCTAAAGTAAGCAAAATGTCTAACTTTTGTTACTTGATGTGATTTAGATTTAAAAGAGATGAATATTTTCTCTCCTTCCTCCAGTGATCTAGTTTTTATTCAAGTACATTCGCATAACTGATTTGTTACTTAGATAATCTTGAAAATGGCCTTACGATGAGGCCGAAATATCGACTTTTTACGCTTTTATTTACGTGTTTCTGTTCCCTCATAATGTCACTTTTTTAAGTGGACTTCCTTTTTTAGTCTTTTTTTTAAGTGGTTTTGTGAGAAAAAACAACAGCTCTGCACGTACATCGTGTTTTTTAGTACATTTCTTTGACGTCCACTGCACGACTACGACGTGAAACTTCCCAATGCCAAGTTTTATGGAGGACGCGCGCGTGAACATACGAGGACCGTGAATTTTCCTTTCTCGGCTTTTTGAAGCTGCGTAAATTCCTTAACAATTCAACTTCAGGAGCAGACGACATCGCATACATTTGACAAATTGAGCGGTCCAAATAGACGCGATAAAAGTTGAAAGGACGCAAATTCATTTTCTGACGACTTCTTCACCAACATCGTCGTCATTGCTCAAGCTCCCTTTCCTTAACTCCCTGTTATGCCAATGCGATATTGTTGACATGGTATTGAGAATGTGTTGGTAAGATATTGGAAAGAGTGTGAATTGTATTTAGAAAGTGCTGATATGGTAAGCAAAATCGGTCAGTGCGGTTTTAAGGAAACGTTTATTTGGTACGGAAATGTTGGCAAAGTTTGTTTCGTTGCTGGTAAAGTGTTGCTATGCATGGCGTTTATAACTGTATCGGTTGTGTTTGTCTAGGTAACTGGTGAATTGGATATAGTATTAAAGTACCATGTGTGAATATCCTAAGGCTATTTAGTCACTTCTGCTTTTTTAAAGATCAATCAGTAAAAAACGCGTAGTGTATTTATATTTTTTTTTCGTAAGGTTCCAGTGTTTCAAAGCAGCTTGGGTGACAACAGTTCTTCACCAAGGTTTCAAGTTTCCCCAGAACTACAGCAACCTACGCTCCGCCTTTTATATCGGCGACAAAGAAGTTCAATGGACACTAGGAGCGATCCTCTATCGAACAAGGTTCCTGCCTCTAAGGTACGTCATTTATCGCAGGTTAATGGGGCTCATGAGAGCTCTAGAAATTAAATGCCTTGTTGCCGATAAACTGTAACGGTAAAAAATGACACGCAAAGGGAAAAAAAATTGAACCCTTTAACAGAAGTCATTGGGGGTTTGGTTCTTCGGTTTTGCTGGCGGTTGAAGCTCATTTTAAAATTGCCCGTTTTAGCCGTTTATCTCAGCTTCTTTGTCGGTTTTTGGTCACTTTTTATTGCAGTTTCTAAGATTCATCGATTTTGGGGGCCGGTTTTCCTGCTCTCTCCTCGAGCATCCTCCATGAACTCGTTGAACTGAAGAGAGGAAGTTCGATACTCTGGCTTCATGGCTAGTAAATGCCGTGTTTTTATTTTTGTTTTTGTTTGTTTTTTTTTGTCCTATAATGGCTGGAAGTTTATAGTTGAATGTCGTGCGTTTATTTGCCTCTAACACTTAATTAGCTAAGTAAAACATCAAGAATAACATTGAACCGCAACAGCTGTTCCCCCCTCCCTCTCCCCCAGTCCCTCACACCACGTGACATTGTTCTAATCCCATCGATCTTTACATGCGTGCAAAGATGGCGGATATGGTCAGTATGGCATATGACCACATATATTTTTCATTTCTAGGGAAGTCCAATTGCATTCACAGTACAAAAGTTCATATCACGCCCTTTGGAGTTACGTGAGTGAACTACAGTTCCGTATCATATTCCTGGTGTGCAGTGTCACAGTTTTGGCCGCCATCTTGCTGTACTGTAGGCGGCTACGGCGCATGAGCAGTACGTCAAGCTTGTTGCAGTACAACTCGTCTCCAGTCCTCTACAATGTTGATGTAATACCCAGCACAGATAAGATTCCTGTGAGATGACCAAACGAGAAAAAACTTCGAAGAGACTTTGAAAAATCTGATATGGCAATAAAGATGTTTCTATGTAAGGAAACGAGACGTCACTTTGTTGTATTTTGATTGATGTGGCAGCAGCCAGAATCAGCGTCAGATCGTATGTCTGCGCATGCGCACCACCCTCTCGTCCTTGGTCATGCCAATCTCGTTCCCAGAAGCTGCGATCCTTTTGTTCATCACCAAGGATCACTAACCTCTCGAAGAATCCTAAAAAAAAAACATATCTGATTGGCCGAAAAACGTATTCATCATATGCAAATTACTTTGCCAATCATACAAACTGTGAGCACGTTGATTTGATTTTGACAAGTCATCTGGGTACACACCAATTTTATACGACCGTTAAGGAAAAAGTTTATCTCAATATAATTTCAAAAAACCACGCCACAACGACATTTTGTCAAAAATTTCTTTTGTCTTGCTATTGAAAGTCGTTCAATGCCACTTTTTTAAAACATGCATGCTACTGAACCTTTCAAATTTGCATACAGCTGTGCTCATTCTGAACACGAAAAAATACATGTCGTCATGACTTACGAATGTCTCAATCTCGGCATTTTAAATAAATATACACCTATTTCGATAAAGATTGCTTTGGGGTTTGGTCATTGAAACGCAGAATACAATGCTTTGCTTGAGTGACCACCAAACAATGGCTTTCAAAGACCAAAGCACGATTCCACGATTCTTTACAGTCCTTTCAAGTTACTTGATACATCGATCAAAAGTCACGTAAAGGAAAACTGCAGTGGAGCGATTATGTTCCAATGTGCGTGCAAGGGAAAATTCCCTCGGGAAGGTCTCTTTGACAAATGGGTAAGTAACTTCACAAAGGTTTTCCAGAGCGTCCGTTGCCCGTTCCGCTGGATAGGGGTAACTCAGGCTCTGGGGACGAGATTGTGGTCTTGCGCAACAGAGAATAGCTTTGGGCTCGAGAATGACCAGCGTGGTTTAGCAGCGCAGCAGGCGCGTGGAAGTAGTAGAGATCGTTAGATTCTTAGACAAGGACGACAACGAGAAGAAGATTTTCCCAATACCAAGTATGCGCGCGCGTGAACCAGCGTCATTTTGGAGGGAATATGTGATAGCCGTCGTCATGCTTCTAAGTCTTAGTGTCGTAATGGCGAAAATTAGTTATCAAATGTTAGAAATTGTATGATTTAGCGATCGGGAGAGGGCTTAACCTCCTTCAATCTGAATAAGTGTACTAGCTCTTGTAGTGAACAAAAACTACAATGAGAGACACAATTGTGTCTTTAGACAGGGAATACGCACTTCATGTGCACTGACCTCGTCGCGTCTGGATGATTTTTTCCGATATAGTTACTTTTATACTGTAATGATAACCTTATTGTTAGGTGGGGAGGGAGCTGGGCATTTTGGGGGGAAGGTTCTACCCCTCACATACCCTAGATAGAACCCTGATTATCAGAATACTTCATGGAAAGTGCGTGCGTACGGTATTTATAAGTAAAGTTAAGAAATCATTCGACGAGTGAAATATCTGATACAAACAACGAGTGCGTAAATACTGCCAAACCAAACACTTTCTATGCGGTATTGTGATTACTTTAAATTACTCAGACATTGTTGATCATGTTGCCAACCTTTTATTTTAAATGATATACCAAAATGCTAAAATGATGAAAAAGATAATAGAGACGCTACATATCGTAAAATGACACAAGAAACAACGTAATATAAAAAAACTATTGGTAAAAAATTATAATATAAGGGTATTAAAGGATATAAGCTTAAGGTAATACAGGAATTTTATTTATAAGTAATCTTAACTTTGTGTTGCAGTTCTGAATCTACAGGTAAAGATCGAATGAAAAATTAGTGAAATTCCGGTTTGAACGAAAAGCGTCAAAATAGCTCCTATCAAAAGTACGTTTCACTTTTTTTCTCTCTTTCCGCTGTTGTTTTGCATGTTATCTACAATTTTCCTCTTTACGTTTATTGAAATATACGCAATTGTCGAGTCACTGTTCAATTTACGAACTTGCGTTCTCTCTTCTGCAGAAAAAAAACTCTCCTGTAAACTTTTAGTCTCGACAAATTTGTCGTTTAATGACTGAGATTCTGATTGGACGTACCATTTTTCTCACGTGAGAAAAACATCGAAACTCATTTGCGTATGAAAGTTTTATACGACATAATATTTCGGTATGTATATCTCAGTATGTTTTACATTAAGTGCTCTCGTGATCGAACAAAACTGATTGTTCATGAACTGTCATCTGTTTACAGTAGAAATGGTAGGAATTAGATAACTGCACTTACAAAATTGTCATTTAGTCAGGCTAAAAAAACAGTCTATTACAGGAAGTGGCTAAGGATCCAGAGAGTAAGGTGTATGTTGGTACGAGGAATCCCCCACTTCAATTTACTTTACAACTATTTATTTCCTAGCAGCTAGTAAATATTAAATAAACGGTTAATTTCGGCTGTCAGAAGTTAACCGCATTTCTCGTGGTTGGCCAACAGTTAATTTACTTACATTACATGAAAACAAACTAAATTATCTATTTCAATGAACAAAAAAGTAAAAAGTAACCAACAACAATAACAGGACACGTTTTTAAAAATTTCGTCCATTAACAATTTCAAATGTTTCACAGCCGGGGCACGCATTATCTTAAGTATGCTATTTTATGTCCTGATACATAAGCATGAAAAGTTTCAATTAAACACTCGTTAAGAAATATTTACAATGAATGGTAGTACTAGCCGCCCTAGCTAGCTAAAACAAGGCATGCTGGACCCTGCATTATTCTGCATTTGTTTTATTTCACAAACTCTCCTTTTTATTGTTGTCTAATTTCAGTGACATAGCTTTCTGTACACCTGAGCAGGATACGGTCATTCTATTTTTCAGTAACATTGGTCCTTGCTTCCAAAACTGTACGCCACTAAGTACGAGCGTAACTAAAAAAAAACTCGAAATTGCGGAAAAAAAATAACAAAAAATAACAAAATAAACAATAAAGTAAAAAAATAGAATAACAAAGCAAGTGAGCAAAAACTAAACGAGAGATAACTGAAAACCGTGTAATTTCATTGACATATGACTTCATTTCTTCTCCTTTAAACAAGTCTTCAGTTTGCTAGAATTGCATAACGGCAAGTAACTCAGCTGATTAAAGAGGTAAGATAAATATTAAGAGCTAAAATGTTTCCCTCCTCGGCATTCTTTGCATAAAACTCCTTGCGACATTTGGGGCACTTTGCGTATGACAAAGTTCCGATAAACTCCATCACTGGTGATGTCTTGCTGCATTTGGGGCACTTGAATTCAGCTCGCTGAAGACTCAACAATGACTTCATTAATGTTCCGGCAACGTCGGATCCATGTTTCTCGTAATAGGTTCTTTCTTCTTCTGTCAAATCTTCTGTTTCCCAGAAAACGTCAATAAATTCCAATCCAAGAACGTCTGCGTTCTGCACTCTGAAAAATCCCATATTTCCCCAGATTTCTCCCCAAGAATTTAGCAGTCGTAAACTTTGGCTGTCGAAACTGGTAAACACAACTGCATGGCCAATGGTAGGAGTATTGGGAGGGCGGGCTGCTATGTCGATCTTCTCCTTCGTCAAAATACCTTCTTTGTTGCTTCGAAAGAAGTTTGAAAAAATTTTCCATTCATCATCAGAGAGCCAAAATGTTGCCACTACTGGACGACCTGAAGTGATCGCTTCCATGGCACCCTTGAGCTTAACTTGCTTGCACTGTAGACGGTACTTCGGGCACATCTTCTGCAGAAGAAGGAAGGTACTGGCACTGCGACTTCCTTCTTTGATACATTCTTCTCTTAACTTGTAGAAATCTGGATATCCGCCTTTGCGTCCAAGAATTCGTTTCACGGACAAATGGAGAATTGTAGCAGCTGCATTCGCATAGCAGGTCCCCCCTTTTTGCTTCTTTTTTGCCTCATAGCCCTTTAATTCTAGGTTGATATAGATATCTAGATGGACGGATGCAAGCACATCCGATAATGCCTCTTGACAACAAACGACATTTCGAGCCAAATCGCAGGCCTCTTTCAAGTGGTCTGGATGATTGACTTGCAAGAACAAGTGTGTTTCATTGTTGGTGATATCGATGGTCCAGTCACGTTTCACAAACATTGTGCGTGGTAGGGATTGTGTTGCAACTTTGGAGCTCAATGAGAACATGAACGTTGCGCCTGGATCCCAGTCAGGTTCCATCTTGCTGAACAGTCGTTTGGGGTCAATGTGTGTGGCGGAGTCAGTGACAAAGCAGCTTACTATGGTCACATCTGAGGCCCGCCCTATTCCTACAGGAAAAGTAGTCTGGTTATCTGAGGGCTCTCCGTCTGACAAGATGAACAGCACCTTTTTGTGATCCGAAAACTTGGAGTCATGGAAAAGTGCCATAGCCTCTCCAATCGTTCGAAAAAAAGGTGTCCTGCCATAAATGTAAGGCTCGATTCTCTGCAATAATTCCTGACTTCTTTTTTTAGTGAGACTTTTTGCATCGACGCATCCATGCACAACATTTGAGGCATCTTGAACATTGAAAATGGAATCAACATCTACTCCTTTTAGCAAGTAGGCTTTGGCCTTTTCCACTACTTCTTCGACGTCTGCTACTGTGGCCCTTCTAACATTGGTCACCACCGACGCATACACACTGTTCACTTTTCTAAGCCCATAGTTAGTCCATTCAGCTCCCCACTTCAGTAGAACGTTGTCTTGTTGCTCTTCGTATTCAGGCCAGTCACGACAAGCAGGTGGTAGACACTCTTCAACAAATACTTTAAGAAAAGGCTCGTCAGATTCAAATTTGTTAAGAAAAACGACAGCCAAATTTTCCGTTAATGCTGCGCGGACGACGTCTTCTGCGGCCCATTTGCGGACTGTACGTGCGCCGGCTTCCTCCAATACATCGAAAATCTGGTTTATGCGTTCAGTTGTGGCAGGCCCTTCAGGAACATTATCTTGATTGGGAATCTGTTTCAGAGTTCCTATGATATCAAATACTTCCTTACCACAACTAGCCCCAAAGCCTATTGCAAATACATGGTTATCAGAAGAAATATCGTATTTGATAAGGTTGTCAATAACTTCAAAGATCGAACGAGCCCATGGTCCTCCCTTTTCATCAGTACCCTCTCCAATGCTACGACTCATGGAACCGGAGACGTCAAGCAGAATTCCAGTCAATGTTGCCATGCTTTTTCTGTCTGCAATTAAAGGAGAGTAGGCCTAGTCATAAAAGTCGAAAAAGCTCAGAACCATGCTAAACGAGACCCATCATAGAATGAACTGATTGGGCTCCAATGACCTTAGTAAACTATCCTATTGGCTACTATCATGGCACTTCCTGCTTTTGAAAAAGTCAATGACAAGGTGCGGGTGGGTTCAAGACATTTCCTCAAATCGAATTAATTCATATTCCTTTGTTATCTGTAGTCAAAACTACTAACAACCGAATATATATGATTCCTGCCAACTGTCTTGCT